CCCCTTGCCTGATCTAGAATAATAGAAATGAATGTTTTTGTTTGTTTCCTAAGAGCTTAGATGCAGAGCAGTATTGAAGAGTCTTCTCAGTGGGCACCGCTTCATTCCCATTATTTACGATGTTCAGCTGTGAGTGCTGTTGCTTATGTTCCCAAAATGTCATCACCCACGCTCAAGCTTAATGAGAACTGGGCATGCTCAGTCGCCACAGAATGCTAACTGCATGTGGAGCGAATGAGCAGAAAAGAGGGTGACGTGTAAAGAATGCAAAGTAATGTGTGGTTTGGGATTTTTTTTACTTTTTATTTTGTAGTGATATTTTTAGTTCCATCATTTTGGCATATAGCCAAACACATTATCTCTCACCCCCCCCTTCCTTCACCTCCCCTTGCCCCCTTCACACCAGGTGTGGCGGTTTAAGTGGTACTTGAAGCCTACAATTTTGTCCTGAATGTACTACAGATCATTCTAATATTTCACTATCCAAGGGAGATACCAATATTTACAAATAGAGGGTGTGAAAGAGCAAGCTTAAGGTTTTAATTTGCTCAAGCAGCTAGGACAGAAATTTATTTTTTAAAAATTAAAGTTCCCAAATTGTTATGCCTTTATCCAATATTTGATATTTTAAATAGATGTTTTGGTCCAAAAATAGAGAATCATGCCAACTATTTTCACATTAAAGTTGTTTATTTTTTTGTTCCTGTATTATATTCATCACCAATAAAAGGACAAAGGAGAGCACAGGCTTGCATGAAATTTGCATATGGAAATAATTGCTAAAAAATAAATAGAAATACAATACATCTCACCATAGTGAAGAAAACTGTAACCAGGTGCCTGCACTCTTGACAGGTGCCTGCAAAGTTACCACAGTTCCGGGTGCTAACTGTTAATAGGCAACTTCAAGGCCCCTGTTTTCCCTTCCCTGTTTCCGCTTTAGGACTTGGACTGGAGAGCTCTTCAAATAGATGGCCGTCCTCTGTAGAGTAGGACATATGGACACACTTTGATTACCATTGGACTTGATTGTGAGCTGAAAAGAAGATGAGGTGTGTTAAAACACATACAGCATTTGTCACGTTAGACCAGGACTTCCTCTACCTACAATGTGATTGGGCTACTGTAATGAATTTTACATGGGACTGCCTGTAAAGATGATTTGGAAGTGCCAATTAAATCAGAATTCAGCTGCAAAAGTTCTGTCTGGTATGGGTTAGTGAAGCCATTATACACCAGTTCCATGTATTTTAAAAGGAAGATCCTTTCACATTCACATCCATTCATTCATAGTCTCCCATTTTCCTCTGATTCAGTGCTCAAATTACAAATGAAAGGGTGGAGGATAATGATGTCTGTTCTCTGATTCCAAATAGTGCTCCCTTCCTCAATAGTAGCCAAAGTAGGCAGGGCATACTTTGTATTTTAAACATTTATCTACTGTAGTTTCATCTCAGAATCTACTAAGTCAGAATTCTTTCCACTAGAATGTACAGTCTAGGATAAAATCCAATTCTAGTTTTCGGTTTGTCACTCTTGTTTAGTTAACTGGGTTTTGTAAGTTATCTTGAGGGGTGTCCGCAAGGTGCTGAAGTGTGGGTTCCAAATATTTAAACAAATTACCTAGCTGCATTAAAGCTGCAGCCATGAATTCTATCCGCTTCTGGCTGGGTACCGAGTGTTCTTTTTGTGCTTGATTGGCTGGCCTTAAGTTCTGACCAATGGGAAGGCAAGGCAGATATGCCATTTTGCCCACCCAGGTTGCCAGGGAACACAACAGCAAGGTGCTTAAATGTTGAGTCCTCTGAAAGCGTTGACTGCTTGTATCCATTCTAGCAGCTCATCATCACAATCTGTGGACTCTCCTACCCCATCCGGGGGCTCGTCGTCACAGTCTGTGGCTGCTCCTACCCCTCCTGAAGGCACATCATCACAGTCTATAGCTGCTACTACCCTGTCTGGAGCCACATCATCCCTGTCTGTAGCTGTTCTTCCCCCACCTGGAGGCTCATCCTCACAATCTGTAGCTGCTTGCAGCCAATCGACGCAGTCTGTGGCTGTTCCTGCCTCATCTGGAGGCACATCCTCACAGTCTGTGACTGCTCATACCCAGTCTCAGGACTCAGTGCCACAGCCCGTTGCCACTGCTGACCAGTATGGAGGCACATCGTCACAATCTTTGGCTGCTTCTGCTGACCAGTATGGAGGCACGTCGTCACAATTTTTGACCGTTCCTTCCATGATCGGAAACACACCATCACAATTCCTGACTCTTCCTGCCGAAGGCATATCACTGGAGAAAGAGGCAAGACAGGAATTGAGGGGTTGGGATGAGTATATGGGCTCAGGATGCGTGTAAGGGAATCGATGAGTGAGAAGACCTGGAGTTTGAGCACACAGTTGTTTTGCCCCTTGGATCTGTTCTTGCTTGCCTCTGCTCTTTCTGTCTCATTCATACTTAGGTCTTCAAGCTCTGTGCGTACTTCTACGCATTCATTTTACTCGCACTGACTGATTCTCTCTTTCCTTCTCTAATCTGTCTGTGCCATTCTGTCTGAGGCCTTTTTAAAAAAAATAAATTATTACAATTTTCTTGTTTTACAGAAGTAAGTGTAATGTCTCATTTTTTCCATGTAACATTTTTACAAATCCGTTTCATTTGTTGAGACATTAGGGGGAGAAGAAAAAAAAGGGGGGGAAAGGGGGGTGGAGGCAGGGAAGATGGGTGGGGGTGGGGTCGGGTGGCGATGTTTCTGTTATGCTTAATGTATGTAGGGTTTGGTGTCAGCGTTGCTTGTGCTGTTCACTTGTGTTCCTTTGGTGGTGAGAGAGGTTGGGGTTGGCCTGGGGTGTGGTTGTTTGTTTGTGATTGGCTGTGGTGATCTTTGTTTTCGTGTGTGAGTGGGGTTGGTGGGTGTTTTGGATCAGGTTAGCCATATTTATTTGTATGCTGTTGGTGGATTATTGTCATTGTCTTGTTGGGCTGTGTATGTGATAAAGGGGAGCCATACCGGGGTGAAGGCATCTTCTTCTGTTTGTCCCCGTGTCAGTTTCAGTTTATTGGTTAATTTTTCTAGTAGGGCTGTTTCCCATACTATTTGGTACCATTGGTCTATGCTTACTCCTGACAGGTCTCTCCAGTGTCTGGTTATGGTGTTTTTGGCTTCTGAAAGTAGGCCTTGTTGACACATAGTAAAACTCCTGTGTCAAAGTCAGTGGATTCTCACAATGCTTTAATATTTCTCAGGTGTTTATTTTCTGATTAACCATTTGAAAGTGGGAAGATTTTACATTGGGGGAGAAGGATTGTAAGCCTCCAGGTGTTTGGAGCTGCAGCCCCTATCCTCCCTGACCATTGGCCATGTGTTGCGGTTGATGGGAGTTGGGAGTCCAGCAACATCTTCAGGCAAACCACTACCTCTAAAGGTTCCATATCTGCTGAGCATTCTCAAAACTCTGTTACTCAGAGACTGTTAATAGATGAGTTCTAAAGCCGGGACTTGCCTGGTCTTGCACAATAGACTGATATGCTACCCAGTGCCTACATAGAAGTCATATTTTATGGGGGCCATTGTGTGTTTCAAGGGGGAATTTGTTGTGGGTCATTGACGCCCACATTACTGGATTTTGAAATGACAACTGGACTCTCTTTACTCTTACTTTCTATTATTGTTGGTTAGTTCAGTAGAATTGCTTTGATTCCACTTCTATTTAAATATCCTTGTAACTTTAAAAAAAAAAAAAGCTTTGCATGTCGATGGAGATTAGAGTTGTGGGTCAGCAGTGGTATGGACCAGTGCTTTTTTCTCTAAAAAAATGTTTAGGAGTACTCTCATTTTGACTCAAGAAAATCACCATTTTATAGTTCAAATCCGGAAAAATAAATACAGTAAATGAACAAAAGTACAAAGATTCGCAAAATGTTTAGGGCTATGCATACCCCTGCACCCCACCCCACCCCCCGAAAAAAGCACTGGTATGGACAAACTTCTGTGTAGAATGGATTGTGGCTGGGCCACGGAAATGAGAATAAATATATATGTCATGTAACAAATGTGAACCAGCATTTTATACAGCGGTTATAATTTTGTGGTTTTCTTTTGTTCATCCTTCAGGATGCAGAGCAGAATTAAAGTGGTTTGATAATGTTGGTTTTTGTCTTGATCACCTTTGTTTAACTCTGCCCCTTTGATTGCTGTTGTGCTGATAGTTATGCTACAAAAAAAAAAAAACTGTTAGTCATTAAATTGCCCCAAGACTCTTTGTTTTTTATGAACTTGATGGCAGCCATGCCACAGCCGGCCCTCCTGTTGGGCAGAGTGAGGTAGCTGCTTGAGGCAGAAAATGTGAAGAGTGTAGGGAGAGTAATATCAAGGTGTTAAAAGCGCTGGGCTGTGTGTGTTCTGCACACATCCCTCTAACCAGTTCTCTGCTCTCAAGTGTGGTGAAGAACACTGTCCAATGGCCAGTGTTGAAGTAGGAGCATGTGCCAGACTAGGGTTGCCATATTTCAAACAGTGAATCTGGACAAAAAAGTTGTTGAGATTTTCTTTTTTCTGCCAAAGTTGTTGAGCTTCTTTTAGTTTTGCCCATAGTTGTTGAGTTTTTTTGGGTAAAATTGCCATTTTTGAGCTATTTTTATGGAAATACGGCAAAAATGGCACTGCCAACATGGGTTGTCATACGTCTGGATTTTACCGGACATTTTCTCAATTTCTGCCCAGACACTGCTACTGACTGCAGTATTCCAGTTGTATTCAGGAAAATCCGGACGTATAGCAATCCTATATGAGCTTCTGTTGAGGGGTAAAGGATCATCTTGTCATTCACCTCTTGCAAAATAGTTGATACCAGCCCACGTGCAGTTTAATGGATGAATGTTATTTAGTCAGTCACTTGTTGAGCGTGGTAATGACCATTATACTTAACATGTCATTTCTCTACCTACCATTTGATCTGAAGGGCATTCATTGTGTTTTGTTTTTTAAATTGTGTTGCAGGATCCTGCAAATCAAAAATGTGGACGCAAGAAAACAGTGTCCTTCAGCAGCATGCCATCGGAAAAGAAAATAAGCAGCGCCAACGACTGCATCAGCTTCATGCAGGCTGGTTGTGAACTGAAGAAAGTCCGGCCAAACTCCCGTATTTATAATCGTTTTTTTACCCTGGACACTGACTCACAAGCGCTTCGCTGGGAACCATCTAAGAAAGATCCTGACAAGGCCAAACTCGAAATTTCCGCTGTGAAAGAGGTCCGGTTAGGGAAAAACACAGAAACATTCAGAAACAATGGGCTAGCAGATCAAATTTCCGAAGACTGTGCCTTCTCTATAATTCATGGGGAGAATTATGAGTCACTGGATCTCGTTGCCAATTCAGCAGACGTGACCAACATTTGGGTGTCAGGTTTGAGGTACCTGGTTTCCCGTGCCAAACAGTGCCTGGATTTGATAGAAGGTAGCCAGGACACTCCACGTTTTGCATGGCTAAAGTCTGTGTTTGAAGCCGCAGATGTCGATGGTAATGGGATCATGTTGGAAGACACAGCTGTAGAATTAATAAAGCAGCTGAACCCTGCCTTAAAGGAGTCAAAGATCAGGTTAAAATTTAAGGAAATCCAGAGAAGCAAAGAGAAGCTAACGACCCGTGTAACAAAGGAGGAATTTTGTGAAGCATACATTGAGCTTTGCACTAGACCCGAAGTTTATTTTTTGCTGGTGCAAATATCTAAAAACAAAGAATACTTAGATGTCAATGACCTCATGCTTTTTTTAGAAGCTGAGCAAGGGGTGGCACAAGCAACTGAAGAAATGTGTCTTGATATTATTCAAAGGTATGAATTTTCAGAGGAAGGGCGGTTGCAGGGTTTTCTGGCAATTGATGGATTTACTCAGTATTTGCTGTCCCCAGAATGTGATATTTTTGACCCTGCACATAAAAATGTTGTCCAAGATATGACCCAGCCTTTATCACATTACTATATCAATTCATCTCACAATACTTACCTAATAGAAGACCAGGTGCGAGGGCCAGCTGATATTAATGGCTATGTCAGGGCACTGAAGATGAGCTGTCGATGTATTGAACTGGATGTGTGTGATGGTCCAGATAAGGAGCCCATCATCTGCAATCGTAACAGCATGACGTCACCTCTATCTTTTCAATGTGTCATTGAGGTGATCAACAAATTTGCCTTTGTTTCATCACAGTACCCTCTTATTCTTTGCTTGGGAAACTACTGCTCCATACAGCAGCAGAAGGTTATGGTTGAACAGATGAAGAAGATTTTTAAAAACAGGCTCTATACTGATATGCCACCGCAGTCAGAAGCCTACCTTCCATCTCCAGAGAAACTGAAACTGAAGATTATCATCAAAGGGAAGAAACTGCCTGATGGTGAGGATTTATTAGAGGGAGAAGTCAGTGATGAAGACGAAGAAGCTGAAATATCTCGAAGAATGTCTGAAGTGTCTGTGGAGACGCCCAAGATGACTTGGTTATGCAAGGAGCTGTCTGACCTGGTATCTGTATGCAGAGCTGTCAGATTCAAAGATTTTGAGCACTCAATGAAAAGTCAGAATTACTGGGAAATCTGTTCCTTTAGTGAAGCAGATGCTAGCAGAATTGCAAATGAGTGTCCGGAGAACTTTGTAAATTACAATAAGAAATTTCTGTCTCGAATATACCCTAGTGCCATGAGAATAGATTCCAGCAACTTAAATCCGCAGGATTTTTGGAACTGTGGTTGCCAGATAGTGGCCATGAATTATCAAACGCCAGGGCCAATGATGGATTTACATACTGGTTGGTTTCTACAAAACGGAGGATGCGGTTATGTTCTTCGACCTTCTGTTATGCGAGAAGAAGTTTCTTATTTCAGTGCGAATACAAAGGGCATAGTTCCAGGGGCCTCTCCTCAAGTTCTGCATGTCAAAATCATCAGTGGGCAGAACTTTCCAAAGCCAAAAGGAGCCTGCGCCAAGGGGGATGTCATAGATCCTTATGTGTTCCTAGAAGTCCATGGCATTCCTGCAGACTGTACAGAACAGAGAACTAAAACTGTTCAGCAAAACAGTGATAACCCCATTTTTGACGAGAGCTTTGAGTTTGAGATAAACCTACCAGAGCTTGCAATGATCCGTTTTGTTGTGCTGGATGACGATTACATTGGAGATGAGTTCATAGGCCAATGCGCTATCCCCCTAGAATGTATACAGCCAGGCTATCGGCACATACCTTTGCGCTCCTTTGTTGGAGACCTTATGGAGCATGTTACGCTTTTTGTGCACATTGCAATAACTAACCGAAGCGGTGGAGGGAAGGCCCATAAACGCAGCCTGACCGCAAGAATAGGGATGAAAACAAGAGACTATACCATGCTGCGGAATACAAGTCTTAAGATTGTAGATGACATCTTCAAACCAGCGATACATCCATTAAGAGAGGCAACTGACATGCGGGAAAATATGCAGGTAATGAAACGTACCATTTCATTCTTTTCATTTGTTTTAGAACTTGATTTAATCAACTATTTAAGTCAAAAGAACTGCTAATGATATTTTCATAATTGGGGGATCTTATCGCAAGTGATGCAACACCCTATTAGTAAATAATGTTGTAGCTCACTTAAATTGTATTCTTTCAGTGTGGTTGAATGCACAGTCCCCAAGACCCTACCTCTCAAGTGTCAATGAGCTGCACCTTATGTTAGGATGTCCTCTGCATCCCTTGTAAGCTGAAGTTCCCAACTTCCACCATGCTATCCTTGTTCTTCTGGATTTCTCTTCAACAGCCTTTTGGTATACTACAGCTCCCACCATCCCTGATTGTTGGCCATGCTTGTTGAGGTTGAAGGGAGTTGTAGCTCAAACATCTGTAGGACAGCAGATTGAGGAAGGTTGCTTCAAGAGGGATCTTCCAGAGGTGGCAAGGCAGTCAGATTGCATGCCTGCCCCCACTGCACATACTGTCATCAGCTGTGACTCAGGCCGTGCATCTGTACACATAAATGCCAGATTCCTATGACCTTCTCTCCCCCCCCCCCGAAAAAGGATTGAAGAAACCAGATGCAAGTGCAAACAAACTTGTCTTGATGGCGCAGCCCAGTACCAAAAACATGCTAAAATCCATTGTAGTCCCTGCACACTAAGAACAGCATTCTTGTGTGCACCAGATTTGGCACTGAAAGAAGTTAGAAGTCAGAGTTTCAATGTCTGTTTCATGAAATGTTACAGGACTAGTAGTCTACTTTCTTCTGTTAATAGGAATGGTCTTCAATAAATTAAAATTTTCCACCAGGAAAAATAAAGTATATTGATGTAGGTACTACAAAGGGTTTAAAGTTCCCCATAAAAGTTTAATTCATTTGTTCTATAAAACTTGGTATGCCCCCCGCCACTGCATCCTTCTTTTCAACATGTTTTAAAGAAGAAGGGTTGAATCGCAGACATGGAACTTTTTTAATCATGTGAAAGTACATGTCTACAATTCATGCAAACAGTTTTATCCTTACCATAATGTATAAGCAAGTGGTGAGAAAATACAGATCTTGCTATTGAAACACCTTAAAGACAAATTACATTTAGCACAAAAATGAATGAGGTTGCAATATGCATTTAGATGACAACACCCTTTGCCGTCTGTCAGAAGATGGAGAGAGCAGCTGATTTAATTATATCTAAAAGCGGTGTTTTTGTAAATTCCTGTTGGGAACTGGTTTGTAAATATGCTTGTACAGAAAAAGAGAGAAAAAAGCCCTACTCAAAACGAGAAATGTTAGTATAGCCAAATGATGGAGAGTTGCTCTTTCACTTTTATAGACTATAATTACTTTCATACACACAGATGTTCCATTCATTTTCTATCCTACTTGGATTACAATGGTATGTAGCAGAATGCAGGTTCAGTGCCAATTTGTATAATTTGGGATTGATGGGATTCAGGTGGCCTTTGGAGCAACGCAGTGTCTGTAATGGAATTTTGTACTCTCTCCAAATCTGCTACTGCTGAACTTGATAAGCAACAAAATGGTTTGTGGCAGCCGAAGAGGTTTAGAATCATAGAATCATAGAGTTGGAATAGACCACAAGGGCCATCGAGTCCAACCCCCTGCCAAGCAGGAAACACCATCAGAGCACTCCTGACATATGGTTGTCAAGCCTCTGCTTAAAGACCTCCAAAGAAGGGGACTCCACCACACTCCTTGGCAGCCAATTCCACTGTCGAACGGCTCTTACTGTCAGGAAGTTCTTCCTAATGTTTAGGTGGAATCTTCTTTCTTGTAGTTTGGATCCATTGCTCCGTGTCCGCTTCTCTGGAGCAGCAGAAAACAACCTTTCTCCCTCCTCTATATGACATCCTTTTATATATTTGAACATGGCCATCATATCACCCCTTAACCTCCTCTTCTCCAGGCTAAACATGCCCAGCTCCCTTAGCCGTTCCTCATAAGGCATCGTTTCCAGGCCTTTGACCATTTTGGTTGCCCTCCTCTGGACACGTTCCATTTTGTCAGTGTCCTTCTTGAACTGTGGTGCCCAGAACTGGACACAGTACTCCAGGTGAGGTCTGACCAGAGCAGAATACAGTGGCACTATTACTTCCCTTGATCTAGATGCTATACTCCTATTGATGCAGCCCAGAATTGCATTGGCTTTTTTAGCTGCCGCGTCACACTGTTGGCTCATGTCAAGTTTGTGGTCAACCAAGACTCCTAGATCCTTTTCACATGTACTGCTCTCTCAAGTGTTTAGGCGGCGACTAAACACATATGTAATGGATAATAATTTAAATTAGGTTGCTACAAGGTTCATACTGCATCACACAGCATCCTTCAGTTCCCTTGTGCATGGGAGAGAGTCTACTGGTGTAATGTTGAACGTTTGATTGGTTTGTTCATTCCCTTGCTTCCTGGGAGTGGGGTGCTGCTGCTTATGGGGGGAGGGATTAAGAGGCAAGGTGGATACAGTGCTGGGGAAACTCACCTCTTTCTCTCCTGGTAAGTGGAAGCAACCCCACTTCCAGGAAGCTAGTGTTGTGGCTCCATGCCCAGTAGGGGTGAGCGAGATCTGGGAGAGAGTTGCACCTCTTTTCCTCAGTGCTTTTTCGGAGCTATCTTTCTCAGTGCATGAAAAGGAACTGATAGGGCATATATAATGTCCAGCTTTCTGGAAGAGTTCCCTGAAGGAAATAAATGGCTTCTCCTATAGGTTTCTTGGGTGCTAGCATACCAAGGTGTATATATCCCAGGTTTCCTTAAAAGGTAAAGGACCCCTGACAGTTAAGTCCAGTTGCAGACGACTCTGGGGTTGCGGCGTTCATCTCGCTTTACAGGCCGAGGGAGCCGTCATTTGTCCGCAGACAGTTTTCTGGGTCACGTGGCCAGCATAACTAAGCCGCTTCTGGTGCAACGGAACAACAAAACCAGAACAGCGCATGGAAACACCATTTACCTTCCCGCCGGAGCAGTACCTATTTATATACTTGCACTTTGACGTGCTTTCGAACTGCTAGGGTGGCAGGAACTGGGACCAAGCAACAGGAGCTCACCCTGTTGCGGGGATTTGAACTGCCAACCTTCTGATCGGCAAGCCCAAGAGGCTCAGTGGTTTAGACCACAGCGCCACCTAAGTCCCCCAGGTTTGCTTAATGCCTGCTTAAAATGGAAAATTGGTTTTCATTTGTGTATGTAGTCTTCTGGTATGACTTGTAAACTGACTCCTTATGCAATGTGTCAGTCAGAGGATGCAGCTGTGCCACGATGGAAGCTTGCGTCCTTTATGGAATGCTGACAAGTCTTCTGCCTTTAACTATAGCTTGAAAATATAGGTTAAAAATACCGGGCACACATTACTATTCAGTGAGACATTAAATACACCCTGACTCTAGTTTTGAGTATTTCAGGAAAATCAAGCAGATACCTTTCTATTTTTGGCTTAAAAAGAAACGCAAGAGAAATATTTTAAGGCTCATTCATATGAGCACACATTTTAGGAGACAGTTCATTAAGAAAAAAAGCAAACTTGAATGCTGATAAAAATAGAATAAAATAGAGCTCAGTCTATTGCATGTTCTTGAAGAAAATGAAGCCTTGAAATCTTCTCGAGATCCCTAAGCAGGCTTGAAATCAGCATCTGATAAGTTTACAGAAATGGTGGAGCCCGTGGTTCTCAGAGGGCCCTCAGCTCCTCCTTACGGCTTCCTGTTTAAAAAGTTTCCAGCATTCAAAAGAGAAGCACCAAGTGATTAAGTTGCAACCGCTGTGATTTTCATTTCCCTGGAATGCCTCTGGGGCTCTGATGTCGGACTGAAAGGCTTCCTGGGGAAATTAAGATGGCAGTTTCTCACCTGGCATTCTTTTGGCAAGCTGGGTAGCATGTTGCTGCCCCACTCAGCAGAGCATGGGGGGGGGGCTCACTAGGACACCATAGCAGGTCCCCTCAAACCTGGCATCAGCCCTGTCTCTAAGAACCACTTCACGTATTTACAGAAATACACTTCCACGGGAAGCTTATGAAGCTGCTGTAATGTACAAAATTTGACACCCCCCCCCCCGGCCCTTGTGCCACCTTCCCAAAACTGGGTGAGAGAGGTGCTGGTTTTTGGGAAGAAGGCACGAGGCTCTGGCACCGTTCTTGAGCCCTCCCTGCGTCCTTCCCAAAACTGGGCAAGCACTAACTAGGCTTTGGGAAAGAGGTGGGTGGACTCTAGGACCCTGTCAGAGCCCTCATGCCTCCTTCTCAAAGCAAGTGGTTACTAAGTTTTGGGTCGGAGGCATTAGATTAGGTGCCTGTGTGGGAGAACCAGTTGTGCTGCTCTAAATCCGCTTCTGACACACCCACCACTAGCATACAGTCCTCAAATAAGTGGTGAACCTTCAGTGTAATCCTCAGGCCAAAAAAGTTGGCCATCGCTGTTCTAAAGAGTCCAGTGTTCCTCATTACAGTCACAGTTAGCTCTATAAAATAAATTGGAATGATTCCCTGCCGTAAGTATAAACTGATGCTTTTATTTTCCTCAACAGAATGCAATTGTGTCTCTTAAAGAGCTGTGTGGACTCCCACCAATTACCAATCTGAAGCAGTGCATTTTGACCTTGTCCTCACGCCTTATGAACAGCGACAATGTTCCCTCAGTGGCCCTCTGTATGAAGGACAACTTCCCCTACCTAGAACCTTTGGGGACATTGACGGATGTGCAGAAGAAGGTTCTAGCGGCATACGACCTGGTATGGTGTGGTTTTTTTGGTTGTTGTTGTTATCTGGTTTATATTGGAAATAACATGAGCCACCTTTGTTTCTCGGAGATTTTCATATTGGCTTATGCCTTGTGTTTCCCCAAACTCAACTTTATTTGTTTGTTTGTTTATAACGAATTTATATAAAAAAATAAACATCAGCACCAAGCCTTTTAAGAAGATCAATGCCTTTCTCTGTGTAGCATCTTCTACCTTTCCCAAAGAGGATAGAGGAGCCTCTTGACAACCACTGGTCTGTATTGGTATCTGTCCTGTTATATATTGTAGGATACAAAATGGATTTAATGTTTTCCACTTGGAAATAAGTATTTTCCCCCAGTTGCTAGAAGCGCCAGATAACCATGTTAGTACACAAATGGGGCAATAGATGTGTGAGAAGATAGCATAATTAGTTAATTAATTGAACTTAATTGATTAATTTAACTTATTAATCACTTTTTTAACAAAACAAACTCAAAGTGACTTACAACAATAAATCAATTAAACATAAATTTAACCAGGGTAATAATAATAATAAAAAAGAGGAAAATCTAAAACGCATTCATCTTTTCAAAAGGCAGAACTAAAAGGTCCCACTCACTGAAGGAGGCCACGGATAATTAAAAGGGAAAGGCCTAGCAGAAAAGAAATGTTTTTGCCTGATGCTAAAAAAGATATTCAATGGTGGCAACATGCGACTCTCCCTGGGGAGTAGGCCTGGGTGATATATTGATATATCGCCCAGGACCGTGATGGTGGTTTCACTCAGTGGTATATCGCTAGTGAAACCGTTACCACTCTTGAGTCCCTCCAGCGCCTGTAGCCGGCTGCAGGAGACAGAGGGACTCAGAGCTGCGGCGGTTTCATCAGCGATATATCGCAGTCTGCCCCTCATGCCAGCACAGAGTGAGAATCTAGCTGCATCAGCCAGGCTCCGATACAGCTTGTTCCTCCCTCCTTTTCTATAAACTGCTTGGCTGAGGAGTGCATGGCTGCCCTCACCTCAGCCAAGCCGTTTTGCGGAGCCCCAAACTTGCCACTGGCTCGCACTGGCTCTTGAGGTTAGCTGTGTAGTTCTTAGGCTTAGGAACTTGAGCCAGTATATGGTAGGATTTTAGTGGGTATTATTACTTAGGTCCAGCGCCGAGGGTCTTCTGGCGGTTCCCTCACTGCGAGAAGCAAAGCTACAGGGAACCAGGAAGAGGGCCTTCTCGGTAGTAGCGCCCACCCTGTGGAATGCCCTCCCTTGAGATGTCAAAGAGATAAATTACCTGACATTCAGAAGACAACTTAAGGCAGTCCTGTTTAGGGAAGTTTTTAATGTGTGACATTTTAATGTATTTTTAATCTTTGTTGGAATCCGCCCAGAGTGGCTGGGGAATAATATTATTATTAAGATTTGTATACCATCCTATATCCCCAGATCTCAGGGTGATTCACAGGATAAAATCACAATATAAAAACAGAAAATACATAATCAAAATAAAAACAAGAACAACCCAATAATCCGGATTCCTGAATTTAAGAGACATGTACCTGAATATGGAAATGATGGTATTGATACCTGGGTTAGGGTGTAAATCTTTTAATAGGTGTCCTTTAAAATCAGTGACCCACGGATCTTGCAGCTTGATTCAGTGCAGGTTAAGTCAGAAGTTAGCCCCATATTGTTCAGTGGGGTCGACTGACTTGTAAATAGCATGTAGAGAACTGTAGCCTAATGATGTATTTGCTTGAAAGTAAACCACACCAACAGAAATTGGTTTTGTTTCTGAGCAAAACTCATATTGGATTGGACTGCAAGTGTGTGTGTGTGTGTGTGTGTGTGTGTGTGTAATTTCTCATTAAATACATTATAATACACTTTCTGAGTGATTGAGATTTGTGTGTATTTGTAAAGTAGTCATGTGAATACATTTTTGAAGGAAATTCGTCTACGTGGCAGTGTGCGTTCAGTGGTGCATGAAATGCTCCGATATTTCACACAAAGCAGATGCAGTTGCTCAGAGACCCTTAGTAATTATCTTTCTAACAATTAACTGCTTGTTTTATTGGCTTTATCCCGTATAAACAGACAAAGAGCGTTTGTCTGATTCTCATTTTTCTTTCTCTTGACAACTATATGCCCCACAACTGATGGCTGCCATGCCGCCTTTAGAACTGGATATACAAGTCACCTTAAGTCAAAATGCTTGAACTGTAAACTGATCTTTGTTTTTATTTAATAATCCCATATACAGTCTTGCCGACAGACCATTGGATTAAATGGTCTAGTGCAGGTGCGGCAAATCTTTTTTGGAGTGAGGGCCACCTTTTGGGGGCCAAAGTGTGAAAGTTGGGTATGGTATTTTTTAGAGGGACACATTATTGGTGAGGTGGGGGGGGGGTCACAAAAACCTTTCGACATCACAGAATCACATCAAGGGGTATGTGGGAGTAATCAATAAATAAATATATGGGCCGGATTCAACTAACACAGTACACTAGTGAAAGATAGCCTAATGGGGCTTCCCCCCTCTCCTTCTGCCCCCTGTACTAGGGAGATTGTTTTGTCTGGCAAGCAGAAATGCTTGCAGTGATGTAACAATCAAATTAGTGTGACATTGAATGCCACCCTGTAAGAGAGAGAGAGAGAGTCTATATGTATATGTATGTTGTTGTTTAGTCGTTTAGTTGTGTCCGACTCTTTGTGACCCCATGGACCAGAGCACACCAGGCACTCCTGTCTTCCACTGCCTCCTGCAGTTTGGTCAAACTCATGCTGGTAGCTTCGAGAACACTGTCCAACCATCTCGTCCTCTGTCGTCCCCTTCTCCTTGTGCCCTCCATCTTTCCCAACATCAGGGTCTTCTCCAGGGAGTCTTCTCTTCTGGCGTGCCTGGCGTGTTCTGGTCCATGGGGTCACGAAGAGTCAGACACAACTAAACGACTAAACAACAAAGACTCTTACCTTACACTTGATGCTCACAAATGCGTCACCTAACAGTTGGATGACACATTTGGCAGCATCATGAATGAGATAAGATGCAGTTGATTGCTGAACACCATGGAGGTTCACGTGGAAGTCCTGCTGATTTCAGTGAAACAACTCCAAAGTTAAGTGTGTGCATGATTGCAACTAGAGAGACAGCTTTGCTCATTTGGAAGTACCCAAGGCATTGATGTCCTTAAGCTTGTAATTGTCTGTCTCCTGCCTTCATTTCCTCCTGACATTGTATCTTGCATTTCCCCCTGCCTGTCAAGATAATGCCTAATTGACATAAACTGTTCATTGAATCTCCCTTATCATTTTTTTCTGTTACAAAATGGGGAGCGTTTTAGAGGAGTGAACGAATAAGGGCTTTTCGACATAGGGATTCTGGCCTGAGAGGCAAAGCTAATAAAAGCAACTTTTCTTGTTTTATTTTCCCTGACAGATGATTCAAGAAAGCAGATTCCTTATAGAAACGTCAGATGCTGTTTACGACAAGATAGTTCAGTGCCAGAAAGCAGGTAACCTTCTTTCAGTTTTAAATATACTCAAGAGACTTCCTTGGCGATAACCATCCCAAATATTTTTCCATTCTAGCTCTTGCCCATTAAGGATACAATATCCCTCTTTGCTGCAGGAGGTGGGAGCAGGGTTGTGCTGATGGGGACTGGTGGGAGTTGTAGTCCAAAGATTAGGGTTCAACTGCACTGGCTATCAATTAGTTTCGGGGCCCAATTCAAAGTGCTGGTTTTGACCTATAAAGCCTTAAACGGCTCAGGACCGCAATACCTCAAGGACTGCCTCTTCCCATATGAACCTACCTGGACCCTGAGATCATATTCTGAGGGCCTCCTTTGTGTGCCTCCTCCTCGAGAGGTTCAGAGGGTGGCAACATGAGAACGGGCCTTCTCTGCGGTGGCTCCCTGTCTGTGGAATGCTCTCCCCAGGGAAGTTTGCCTGGCACCTTCATTATATACCTTTAGGTGCCAGGAAAAACGTTCCTTTTTAACCAGGCCTTTGGTTGATCTGATTGACACCCTATACCCTTTTAAAATGCTGCTCTTTTGGGGGGGTGTTATTGGGTTGTTGTTTTTATTTTGATTAAAATAAAAGCCTCAGTGCCTAGGGCTTGCCGATCGAAAGGTCGGCGGTTCGAATCCCCGCGTCGGGGTGCGCTCCCGTTGTTCGGTCCCAGCGCCTGCCAACCTAGCAGTTCGAAAGCACCCTCGGGTGCAAGTAGATAAATAGGGACCGCTTACCAGCGGGAAGGTAAACGGCGTTCCATGTGCTGCGCTGGCTCGCCAGATGCAGCTTTGTCACGCTGGCCACGTGACCCGGAAGTGTCTGCGGACAGCGCTGGCCCCCGGCCTCTTGAGTGAGATGGGCGCACAACCCCAGAGTCTGTCAAGACTGGCCCGTACGGGCAGGGGTACCTTTACCTTTACCTATTGGGTTGTTGTTTTTATTTTGAATATATATATATATATATATATATATATATATATATATATATATTTGTTGTTTTTATGTTGATCTTTTCTGTGAACCGCCCTGAGACCTCCGGGTACAGAGTGGTGTATAAATTCAAATAATAATACAGCGGTACCTCGGGTTAAGTACTTAATTCGTTCTGGAGGTCTGTTCTTAACCTGAAACTGTTCTTAACCTGAAGCACCACTTTAGCTAATGGGGCCTCCTGCTGCTGTCGTGCCGCCAGAGCACGATTTCTGTTCTCATCCTGAAGCAAAGTTCTTAACCCGAGGTACTATTCTGGGCTAGCAGCATCTGTAACCTGAAGCGTATGTAACCCGAGGTGCCACTATAATAATAATAATAGGGGAGGCTGTTATTGGGGAGCTAGTCCAACATCATCTTCTCACAGTGACCAACCAGAATGCCCATGGGATTGTCCATTCATAGCACTTCCCCTCTCTCATTGAACAGGTCAGATATGGTCTGTAATACTGGAGAGGGGACACAGAGGATTCACGTAATTAAATTCCAAAGGAGTTTAAAAAGGAACGTTCAGAAAATGGCAGGGCAGGTTTTTCCACATCATGAAAGGTGGCACGAGTGCTCCCATACCCCCAGGGCTCCTGTGGTAACTTTAGAGACCCATGTGGTGGTGTAGTGGGGGACCAGCACTGCGCTCCTTGTTTCAGAACACATCACATCACTGGAATTTAGCAGAGGGGAAGTGGCATGGAGAGCTCAGGACTGTGCTGGCAGGGCATGGTCGAGCCAATCTGATACTCTTGCCATTGCTCAACACCTCCCCGTTCCCCTTCTCGCTCTGGGAAGTGCCAGCGATGGGCTGCTCTCTGGCCGGGAGAACTGTGTTGTACAGGAGGAAAAACCTCTGAAACAGTATCCGAGTGTGTAAAAGCAGCTACTTAAGCTGTGCATTTTAAGCCCCCACCCTCCCTACAAGCATGCACTAAGGTCTCTTTCACTGAAATCAATGAGACGGGAGCATTTAACTACGGCTGTTTGATCCATTATCCTTGCATTGAACTAATTGTCCGGAAAGGTACAGCTTTTTATGATGGCAGAAAATACAGTCATAAAATAAGTGGGCAGGGTGCGGGATTGCTTTTGTCGGACAGGCATCCTAGGATTGGTAAATGGTTATGGTGGTTGTCCCTTTGTCTACAAATGGGAGGGCTTACAGAGCAAGGCTTTTAACTAATGCCACAAGTTCTGGGCAAATTTACGTTAAAAAACAAAACATCAAAATTACTTCCAGTAAACTCCATACATCCTGACGTGTGATATTTGACGTATGATATTCTTTCTGGAAGGGGGTGACTTGTGATTACGCTGAGATGAACAGCCTGCGGTTTTTCATAAGCACAAGCTCCACTTGCGCATGGTGGGCCAGTTCTGGATCCAGCTCTTTGTCGGGATTCAGTTCCCCACCCCTGCCGAAATATGGCCATCAGTGCAAAGTTTCCCAGGGCAGCTCATAACCTACATCTCCCATACAAGTTTATCTTCTTGCTCCAGACTCAAAGCCCATGGAGCAAAGCAGAGCACAAGACGATGTAGGTTATATGATCTGTCTTGGGGAAGTGTGTATTGATGGTTGTATTCAAGAATAACAGCAGTCCAAAATGAAACATGTGCACAATAATATTATACAGTAGCCCCTAGAACATCTTATAATCTCAAAGTATGATATCCTAGAGAGAACATCTTCCGGCTTCAAAGCATCCTATCCATATCACAGTGCCTTATTCAATTTGTTTAAAGTTTCATTGTCAAAATCATTGATTGTAAGAAGAAGAAATAGAACAAGGTCGGCTGTGTGATCCATAAATTTCAAACATATGAGCATCATAAGAATAAAACCAATTTAATTGGATATTTTTCCAGCTGGAAGAAAATGTGTTTATTTTCATTGTTTCTAAACCTCTTTTCAGGTTTGTGTGTGTGTGTGTGTGTGTGTGTGTGTGTTTGTATTGTTTTTGAAACAATTTTCTCCGTTTTTATGATATGACTGAAAATCGCCTTGAGACATGTGTTAAATGCGATTCATAAATGAATAATAAATTTGGTGGGTGGGATAGCAGTCTGATTGGCGTTTAACAGCTGGTGTAGTACACATTCACTTCATGCGGTCTGAGTTATAGAGGAAAATCCAAAGGGTTCTGTGGATTGCTCTCTAATCCAGGCATCCCCAAACTCGGCCCTCCAGCTGTTTTGGGACTACAATTCCCATCATCCCTGACCAGTGGTCATGTTAGCTAGGGATGATGGGAGTTGTAGTCCCAAAACAGCTGGAGGGCCGAGTTTGGGGATGCCTGCTCTAATCTCTCAGCCTCACAGCCAATGCCTTAGGTCACAAGCAATACTATTCATTCATTTCAAATGTTTATAGCCCACTCTTCATTTGAAGGTCCCAGGGTGGGACTAAGGTACCTTCCCTCTGCAACTGCAGAAGGCATTTGCTGAAGTCTTAAGGACAGGAGGAATTTTCCTTAGCACAGACTGGTTAAATAATTTTTTGAAACCATATTGGTATTTAAATACGGCAAACCATGGTGTTACTGTAGTATGAGCCAAGCAGGCTAAGTACCATATTTTTCGCTCTATAAGACGCACCAAACCATAAGACGCACCTAGTTTTTGGAGGAGGAAAACAAGAAAAAAAATATTCTGAATCTCAGAAGCCAGAACAGCAAGAGGGATCGCTGCGCAGTGAAAGCAGCAATCCCTCTCGCTGTTCTGGCTTCTGGGATAGCTGCGCAGCCTGCGTTCGCTCCACAAGACGCACACACATTTCCCGTTACTTTTTAGGAGGGAAAAAGTGAGTCTTATAGAGCAAAAAATACGGTAATTTTTTCTGTGAGCATCTCTTAGCTCTGCTTTTGAATCTGACAACAAAGATTCTCACTTGGGGGTAGGGAGCCAACTGTCAAACCAAAGTGGTGAATGATTTGTTCTGCCTGTTGTATCTAGATGACCCAAAGCCTTACTCCTTCTGTGAGTGTGCGCGCGCATGTCATCTGTTTTAGAGATTACCTCAATTAGAAAGTATCATCAGCTTAATTAAATTGATTTTAGAAGTAATCTAGTTAAAGCAGCACAAACCTCAGTAACAGTCTTGCTTACTTCGTTAAAACCTTGTTTAAACAGAGCTTATTCCATTTAGTAACTGGATTAATATTACTAAAGCAACTGAATGAGATGAAACCCATATAACTGAGGCTCGAATTGGTTTAACTGCATTCAATATTTTTTCCACTGACGCAGCCGAATTAAGGTAATTGTGTTATTTTGCTACAGCCTATCTGCATTTAATTCTTTGCAGCTAGGTCCAAGGTCCTCTACTTGTACAAAAACATGCAAACAAATAAATAAACATTTCTTTCTCTGAGAGGAACAATCACATTACTGTGCACAGGGGAATTGCCGGCAGCACAGCTAACTGGAGCTATACATCTTCATCATGATAATTCTGGTGCCTTTTCACCAGCGTGTTCTGTTTTACCAGATACACTGCATGTGTCTATGGATGCAAGCCAGAGTTGGTTGCCCTATTCACAGATGTTCATATTCCCTACCTGGAGCGTTCCCATGGCAGCATACCTTTGCCTACCAGTTGCTGGGAATCTCAGGTGGGGAGGGTGCTGTTCTGTGAGAGCAGAGTGCTGGACTAGGTGGGCCTTTGGTCTGATCCAACATGGCTCGTCTTATGGCAGAGGAAATACCGTATTTTTCCGTATATAACACGTATAAGATGCCCCTGTTTTGGGGGGGACTCCAAATCTCCAAATTAAGAAAAGGGGGGGAGATTACCCAGAGTTCTTGAGCTTTTTTGGGGGGGGCGGATTGCAGAAAATCGCTCATTCATCTGACCTGTTCTGACACTCGCATGCGTCACAAGAGCCGTCAGTCACCAGCCCAATTGCTGCAGCGACATCCAATCAACACCAGCCCTTGCCACAGCCACCAATAACACGCCCAATAGCCGCTGACAATCTCCAGCTCGTCTTATACACAGAAAAATGCGGTAACAAACAGGGGGTCTATAGGAGTACACATTGGACTGAGACCAATTTCCTCATACAGAGTGGTCCAACAGGTGCAACCTTCTTATGAGGTATTTATCATATGAATTGATGGGCGGCCATAACTCCCTTGGCCGGATTATTTATTTACTTAATAAATGTGTTAGTTGCTTTATCTTGCCCAAGGCAACCCAAAGTGGCAGACAGGCAGACAAAAAACTCCACATAGGTACATTAAAACCAAGGGGGAGATACATTAAACACCTCCCACCCACTTCTAAAAGGCCACAGATAAAGGCCAAAAGCTTGGTTTTAGAGAAAGTTTTTTGCCTGGTGCCTAAAGATATATAATGATGATACGAAGGCGAGCCTCCATGGGAAGAGGCACAAACGGGGCCACTGCAGAAAAGACCCTTTTTTTTGTATTGCTACCCTCCACACCTCTTGTGGAAGGAGAACATGAAGAAGGGTCTCAGATGATTTTTTGCAGAGTCTGGGTTGGTTCATATGGGGAGAGGCAGTGCTTGAAGCATTGATGTCCTGAGCCATTTAAAGCTTTATCGGTCAAAACCAGCACTTCAAATTGGATCCGGAAACTAACTGGCATCCAGTGCAGTCAGCCATGGATTGGTGTTATATGCTCAAACCATCTTGCCCCGGCAAGCATCCTGGCCACTGAATTCTGCACCAGCTGAAGTTTCCGAGCCATCTTCAGAGGCAGCCCCCTGTTGCAATAATCATTTGTATGGGAGTGCGGTTTCCCCCACTGTGCTCACCTAAATTGCCCCAAGGACCCTGCCTCTTCCAGTAGTGGCCCAGGTACTGCTTTGAGGTGCATGCTTTAGTGAGTATGAACCAGAACTAAATGTTAAGCTACTGCTCATGGTTAACAGTAAGCATCTCTGGGATATCTTTCCTCAAATTCCCTTTGGAATATTCTCAGGAGGAGTTGAGAAGAGGCTTGGAGAAACATTGCCTGCCGTGGTTACGTATGTTTGTTTGTTGTTTTTGCCACTCTTCCCTTGCTACCTCTTTGACCATGTGGCAGTGGCGTAGCGTGGGTTGTCAGCACCCGGGGCAAGGCAAGTAATTTGCGCCCCCTAACCCGTGGATTTTAGCACTTGAGTGCGAGCGCCCCCCCCCAGATGTTGCACCTGGTGCGGCCGGCCCCCCTGCACCCCCCACGCTACGCCACTGGGAACAGCTAAGGGAGCTGGGCATGTTTAGCCTGGAGAAGAGGAGGTTAAGGGGTGATATGATAGCCATGTTCAAATATATAAAAGGATGTCATATAGAGGAGGGAGAAAGGTTGTTTTCTGCTGCTCCAGAGAAGCGGACACGGAGCAATGGATCCAAACTACAAGAAAGAAGATTCCACCTAAACATTAGGAAGAACTTCCTGACAGTAAGAGCTGTTCGACAGTGGAATTTGCTGCCAAGGAGTGTGGTGGAGTCTCCTTCTTTGGAGGTCTTTAAGCAGAGGCTTGACAACCATATGTCAGGAGTGCTTGATGGTGTTTCCTGCTTGGCAGGGGGTTGGACTCGATGGCCCTTGTGGTCTATTCCAACTCTATGATTCTATGATTCTATGAGGCTGTGTCAGATAGGGTGGAAATTTCATCCTTTCTGTCCCTCACATGGAAAACCGAAAAACACCCTCTCAGAATTAACTAGGGACCAGGATTACCAAAGCCCCATTCTCCCTGCAACCGCTTGGGTATCTGGTGGGCACCCAGTGAAATTATTTCCAACCACAAAGTCCAATACAAAGTATTTTTGTGGTAGGGACGGAGTTTCAGCTTTGCCTTGTGGGCTGTTCCTCCAAGCTGTCTTTGCGGCGCGTAACAGCCTGGAAGAGAATCAGCGAGAGGATCTTTAGAATTCAGTGCAAATTGAATTTCACCGGAATAGCTCGGAGGTGCTGGCAGCCCGCTTCCCTCCCCCCCACCCTGCTTTTTCGTTTTCTAAACAAGTGATCGGACTCTTCCCCTCCCCTCAGCCCCATGAAACAAGTCCCCAGCGCGAAAAGAAATAATAATTTTAAAAAAAAAGAAGATAACAAGGACGGGTTGTTTTCCAGAGCGAGGTGGAAGCTGCCCATCGCAAGGGCAGAATCTCTGCGGTGCGTAATTACGCGCGGCTTGGAGAGCTCTTTTCCCCCCATTACCCGGGCCCTAGCGGTGCCCGCGGCAAGGTGAGGTTCTCCCTCTCCGGCAGGCGCCTCTGCGCGCCTTCACCCCATTCTCCAGCCCCGCCACATCTAGGAACATCATTAAGGAGTCGCCTCTGCAGCTCAGGAAGTTTTCACACTTCACGTTTCATTAAACGCAGGTCTTCTCGGATTCCTTGGGAAAGGGAGAATCGGGAGAGAAAGGGGAGAGGCGCTGGGCGCGGGTCGGGGGAGAGCGCCTGATTTGCAGCTGTTGGGCTTTCAAAGCCAAATAAAACGGCCAGTCTGCGGAGCGCAGCCGCAGCGGCGGTGGGGGGCGCGCGCGCGCTAGGGCGCAAGGCTGGCGGTGGCGGCGGGGAGCCCGGCGGAGGAAGGAACTTGTCCCTTCCCTCTGGACTCGCGCCCCCCGCAGATGTTGCGCCCGGTGCGGCCGGCACCCCTGGCACCCCCCACGCTACGCCACTGCCATGTGGCATACGGGTGGCGCTGTGGTCTAAACCACTAAGCCTCTTGGCTTGCCAATCAGAAGGTTGGCGGTTCGAATCCGCACAATGGGGTGAGCTCCTGTTGCTCTGTCCTAGCTCCTGCCTACCTAGCAGTTCAAAAGCACACCAGTGCAAGTAGATAAATAGGTACCACTGTGGTGGGAAGGTAAACCGCGTTTCCTCTGGTTTCTGTCACGGTGTCCCGTTGTGTCAGAAGCGGTTTAGTCATGCTGGCCACCTGACCTGGAAAGCTGTCTGTGGACAAACGCTGGCTCCCTCGGCCTGAAAGCAAGATGAGAGCCACAACCCCATAGTCACCTTTGGCTGGACTTAACCGTCCAGGGGTCCTTTACCTTTTTGCCTTCATTGGCCATGTGGAAACAGTATGATTCATGGATGCTTTGTTGCTATAATGAATTATATATTTTGCTAGTATGCAAGGCTGCACGCTTCCTCTGCTAAGAGCTCCATTGAACGCAGTGGAAATTGCAATTCCACAGGATTGCATAACCATCCCTGTTTCGACATGCAGCCTGGGGAAAATGTCTTGGATTACATCTTCCCTGAACTTTGACCAACTTTGCTGACTGGGTCTGGTGAGAGTTGTAGCCCCAAACATCTGGATGGCATGAGGAGGATGGTGTACATATACTGTGTCTATAAATCCTCGTGGGGCACAGTGAACCCATAAATGTGGGTTGTTGTTGTTGTTGTTTAAATATGTAACTGCATTTCCCGCAATGTCTTGTCCTTTGTTCATGTGCCAAATATATTGTTAGGAATGGAACTGCATGAAGAGCTTCATGACCTGGGAACAAAGGAAGGCTTGAAAGGAAGGAAGCTCAGCAAAGCCATTGAGAGTTTTGCATGGGATATCACTGTGTTAAAGGTAAGTACAAAAGTGACACATTTCCTTCTCTAGAGAATCTAGGTCTGAAACTTCTGCTTACATCTAACAGGAAAAGAATATTGAATATTAACATGATGGCAGGAAAATGCTGATGTGTGACAATCATAAAGAAGAGGAGCATTTCATTACATTAAGAGATTAAAGCAATCCTTAGTCAAATAAAATTTAATAAGATTGGTTGTAAGCATTTTATAGTCTGTGGAGTTCTTTGGTTTTTCTTTGGCTTCAGGGGACAGCCAAAAGTAGATTTGTCCTTTCTGTGAGACAGAATTTATTCCAGTTGCTGGGGATTGCTGTTGTGTTCATGTCCTGTTTACAAGCTTCCCTTAGGCTGGACTAGATGGGCCATTGGACTGAACCAGCTGGCTAATCTTATGTTCTTAAAATGACTACAGGTTATATCCAAAGTAGCACTATGTCATGGTCTTTTTGGCATAAGGTTTTCTACTAGCACAGTGCGACTTGTTGTTGCTCATCAAAAGAGTGCACGTTTTGCATGAAGTAAAGATCCAGACTAAGGCTTTGTCCCTATGCACATTTACCTGATAATAAGACCAATTGAAAACCAGTGGGACTTGCTTTTGAGTTGACATGACTAGGATTGTCCTGTAAGTTAGTTGTACTTTCGCTCTATTAAAGTCCAATAGGGCTTCAGTTAGTCTCATGGTTCCATTGGTTTCAGTTGGATTAAATCTTGAGTAACCTAATCTAGATGCAGAGCATCATATTTAATTCTAGGTGTCTCCCAGTTAGAAATGTTCTCTGGGAGCAGGATTCGGAAAGATCTGTGCTTGTGAGAGCTGCTGTCAGTTGGTGTATAAGCCAACTTGGTTTCATTCAACATAAGGCGGTGTTGTATAAATGCCAGAGCATATTAAAATAATTTGATTAAGATTTTTAAAAACAACAACAACAAAGTAGCATTTTATTTCCAGAAATCTAGTGATAGATTTGGAAGTGAGCTGGGAACATAAAGTGTGTAGGCTGTCTTGTGGAAATGCCAACAAAGGGGATCTGAACATAGGGATGGATGCATCTGCCAATTTTGCTTTCTCTTGGTTTTTCATTTTTCCCAATCTTCACCAATTTCCTCATCGGTTTGCAGTTAACGCCCCCTCCCTAAAATAACCGTCTCCATGAAAATTCAGCATTTGAATCCACATTTATCCTAATGTACATATACTTGTATGCAATTTTGCAAAATATACATTTTTGCAAACCGTTTCCCCTAATATAATGCCTATTTGCATGCTATTGCACATTTTTGGCTGGAGAACTACATTGCAACATTCAGGGAAGTTTCAATTCCAAAAGCAGTTGCATGTCGGTTTCTGTATTGTTTTGTGATGTTTGACTAAGGAAGATTCCATTAAAATGTGAACCAAACTAAACTCTCTCCCTCCCATCCCTATTTGAGGGTGCAAATGAATGTGGGGGTATCTTCTTATTCAGACTTAAATCCAGTTTAGCTCATAAGATTAATACATTGAATGATCTGGCCACATTCCACCGTGTGGGAGATGTCAGATTCTAGGTAATCTCTACTGAGCACCAGGAATTGTTGACTCTACAGATAACAAACGTCTTCACTCATTGCAGGAGGCATCTTGTTGTTCAGTCCTGACTCATTATTTCATGAATCGCTTAAAGAACCATGCCTCCGCCCATATTGGCAGCCAGTTGTATCTTTTCTGTAGTGTTCCCTGAGCAAGATAAAGGTTTGCGAGATAGAAAGACTGAATTTTGAAACTGTAGGATAAATAGAAAAATCGCAAACTAGTCCCTGGTTCAGCAATTAATGTTTTCAGCTTTAATATAGAACTAGAAAAATTGAAGCAAGGCAAAAAGAACTATCTAGTTCTATGAACTAGGAAAGTATATGGGCAGCAGAGATGGAGAGTACAGGAGAAGCTATTCTATGGACAACCATTTTAGAGAAAGAATAAATCCAATAGTTAATTTTTAATTTTTTAAAAAGTTTCTCCCCTCTCTCAACAAGTCCATGTACTGTAGATGATTAGGATTGCATTCTAACACCCTGTGAACACCATTCTGCTGATAAAAAGAATGTGCGGTGTGAAGAAATGCTTTATTTTGTCCGTCCTGAATCTATCAACATCCATCTTCATTGGAAGTCCCCGAGTTCTAGGGTTAGGAGAGAGGGAGCAATACAATATCCTCTTTGAGGTAAGGCGACTCAAACTGTCCACAGCATGGGTAGGCAAACTAAGGCCCAGGGGCCGGATCCGGCCCAATCACCTTCTAAATCCAGCCCGCGGACGGTGCTGGAATCAGCGTGTTTTTACAGATATAGAATGTGTGCTTTTATTTAAAATGCATCTCTGGGTTATTTGTGGGGCCTGCCTGGTGTATTTGCATGAGTAGAATGTGTGCTTTTATTTAAAATGCATCTCTGGGTTATTTGTGAGGCACAGGAATTCGGTTTGCTGACCCCTGGTCCACAGTATTCCAAGTGTAACTGCACCATGTTGTTGTTTAGTTGTTTGGTCGTGTCTGACTCTTCGTGACTCCATGGACTAGAGCAGTGTTTCCCAACCTTTTTTGGGCAAAGGCACACTTGTTTCATGAAAAAAATCTCGAGGCACACCACCATTACAGCCCCGTGACGTCAGCGCGCAGCGTCACGCCGGGAGGGACATGAATTGCTAGCAAATTACATAATCACCTCCTTGAGGGCTGGCTCATCTTCTCCGAAGGCAGAACCCCATTAATTAACAGCACAGACTCACACCATAGCCAAGACGAGGGGGGGAAACCTCAGTCATGCACAGTCATGCACATGTGGGGGCTAAATGAGGACGAAGACCGGGCAGAGAGCAGGGTTCAAATCACCCCACCTGGCCAGGACAATCCCTGGGTGCTCCCTTGGGCCACTCGCCTGACCCACCTCGCAGGGCTGTTGTTGCGAGGATAACACGGGGAGAACCACGCGCGCCCCCGGGAGCTCCTTGGAGGAGAAAGCGGGCGATGAATGCAATGCACGGAATATATGAGAGGCGACCAGGTTTTGCAGGTGAGGGGCCCCCGCCAGCCTCCGCTTCCAACACCCGGCGCAACGACGCCGAAGTTTCCCCCCGGGCTCGGCTCGGGGAGCAGCGCTGCTCCCCCCCAGCTCCCCTTCGCCCTCCCGGCTCTCTCTGCCGCCCACTGGGGACCCCCCTCACCTGCCAAGTCCAGAGCGCCGGTGGAAGTTGCATGCATGCATGCAGGGCGCCGCGTTGCCATTGCATTGCACTGCACTCCATGCAACGCCTGCACGCATGCATTGCCTTGCACGCCCGCCAAGGGGTCTCCCCGCGGTCCGATGCGTCCCCTCCGGCGCGGATGCAGCATTGCAAAAATAAAAAACCCCCGACGCAGCCCTACCTGGGGGGCAGCCTCCGCCTCCGCCGCTCCGCCTCCGCGGGGATCCCCGGGCTCCATCCTGCCGCCCGATCTCCGGGGGGCGCAGGCAGGCTGCGCGGGGTCTGCGCGGAAGAGCCCCTGCCCGCCCGGCCACCGCCGCTGCGCTCATTCCATGGCCGGGAGAAGAGCGCTTCAAACAAAACGCCCGGCCCGCCAGGCCACGCTGGGAAACGTAGTTCGCGCACCCCGCGCGGGCGCGGAGCCCAAGGGCGAGGGGACTATGGATCCCGGCAGCCCCCGCGCCGGGGACGGAGGGGGAGAGGCCGGGTGCAGGGATGGAGGGACGGGTGGGCGAGCGAGTGAGTGGCAGCCGCCAAGCCTTGGCCGAGAGCCAGGAAGGGCCTCCCCGGAGGAGCAGGAGGGAGGCGCAGAGCGGGAGGGAGGGAACCCCAGGGGTCATCTAGTGACGGCGCCCCAATCGAAAATTTGACTTAAAAAAAAAAAATCTTTCAATTTTTTAATTTTTCCCGCGGCACACCAGGCAACATCTCGCGGCACACTAGTGTGCCGCGGAACAGTGGTTGGGAAACACTGGACTAGAGCACGCCAGGCACTCCTGTCTTCCACTGCCTCCCGCAGTTTGGTCAAACTCATGCTGGTAGCTTCGAAAACACTGTCCAACCATCTCGTCCTCTGTTGTTCCCTTCTCCTTGTGCCCTCCATCTTTCCCAACATCAGGGTCTTTTCCAGGGAGTCTTCTCTTCTCATGAGGTGGCCAAAGTACTGCAGCCTCAGCTTCACGATCTGTCCTTCCAGTGAGCACTCAGGGCTGATTTCCTTCAGAATGGATAGGTTTGATCTTCTTGCAGTCCATGGGACTCTCAAGAGTCTCCTCCAGCACCATAATTCAAAAGCATCAATTCTTCGGCGATCACCCTTCTTTATGGTCCAGCTCTCACTTCCATACATCACTACTGGGAAAACCATAGCTTTAACTATACGGGCCTTTGTTGGAAAGGTGATGTCTCTGCACCACAGATTTGTATAATGGCATTATGTCATTGGCAGTTTTATTTTCAATTGTTTCCTAATGCTGCCCAGCATGCATAGCATTTGTCTTTTTCACAGCTGCCATATATCATTGAGCTATCCATTGCGACCACAAGGTCACGTTGCTGCCAATTCAGACCCCCTGAGTGTAGATCTGAAATCAGGGTTTATTTGCCCAGTGTGCATACCTTTACACTTGATTGCATTGTCTTATATAGAAACCAGCTCTGCGGTATTGAAACAAGCAGATTACTTACAAACTCTTTTATTATTACGCTCTGTCATTCTTGGCAGAGCAGGGTTGTGGCACCCAAACATCCACCTTTGGCAGTGATACTCCAGTGGAGCAAAACACAGCTCACTGCAGAGATAAAAACTAGGATGTGTTTGTTTTCTTCATTTCAGAAATATTCCAGAACCGCAGTGAGTTATCTGTTCACCCTGTCTTCATTTACACTATAGTTAGCATCTCTCTGAAGTGCAATTTTTTTCTTCCTTTTAGGCAAAAAAGGCCGCAACTGACAATGTTATTTGAATTATTCATAAGCAGACAGATCCTAATG